TGTACACTTACAAAGTATTACTTTTATGTTTGCATGAAGGTCATGAGCAAAACATGAAGCTACGGGGGCAACTCATGCACTGTGCTGATGGAGAAGAAGGGAAGGAGGCAAATTTGTCATTCATTGGGACTACTAACCCAACCAGGGACCAACAGTCCCTGCAGTATTTAATCCGTATTTCTCCCTATTGTTGGAGAGGAAACTAGTTTCTCCCCCATTCCTTTGAGTCAACATTCATTAACTCTGAACATTTCACAACTAGAGTAATTGCTTTTAATAATCCCTTTTAATTTAAGTAATTCCTTTTAATAATATTCCTTTTACTAATCAGATCATCAAAAGATTCCTATACTATTGTGTTTCTTAAAGCATTGTTGGTGTGTTTGCACACGCATGTGCGTGCACCCAAAGGTCTTCTTAACTTTCTTCTGTCTCTTTCTATAGGAATTATTACAGCACCCAAGCTTTTCATTTTTATGACTTTCTCAACATTGCTGAGTCAAATATCCATTAATTGTAGAATCTTCTCAGCTTTCCTGCATTTTGGACCAGGGTACACTTGGCAAACAGCGGCATGTTGGGATCATATTCTTTCTATTATGTTTGTATGACAAAGGATTTCAGTCCAGAACCTTGGTGGATGCTGACTGAGGATACTATCTGATGCTGACGTAAAGTAATGACAGGCCGGTGACTTAAGTGTCTCTCCACCGTTCCCATGCTGACTGGGGATGTCCCACTCGTGTCTAAAGGTAAGAACTGGTATCACTATCACAGATAGGCTGGACACAGAAAGTTCCTAAGACCTGACATGTGAAATTCTTTAGTCTTTACCCTGCCAAATATTTTCACTGACCACACCATCACTTTAGATGGCAATGTCCATGTTTACATGTCTAGGTTTCTCTGAGTAGAAAAGGAGAGTTAAAAAGGATCTAGAGGAAAGGAGCCCTTAGGAAATCAATGCTTCACACAGACGCATGACCTGAATGCATGGTCAAAGCCAACATCTTGAGAAAGGTTCACACACTAGTTGTCCATCAAAGAATAGTAAGCAGAAACAAAAAAATAAGATATAGTAAATCTCTAATACACAAACCTCCTAATCCCAGGGAGCAGGAGGGCAAGAACTTGTAAAAGCTGTAACGTGTAAGGTTAACTTTTAAGTGGGAACGGTGGTGCTTAGGGCCATATTTTACCCAATAATGATAGCTTGACTGATTAGAGTCAAGAATTTTTCAGATTCAAAGAGAGGTAAGATACACTTGGAAGCCTGGAAAAAAAAAAAAGGTCTGTGGGAAGTGGACCAAAGACACAAAATCTTAGAGGGTTAAAAAAAAATGCAGGAGTGACAGCAATTCATACGTACACCTTTTTCCTTTCTTTCTTTCTTTTCTCTAATTTAAAGACCAAAAGTACTTAGTATTTTGCAGCGAGTCAAAGGACTCATATGCTAGGCATCGAATATCACATGTTACTGAGAGTCTTCTTCCTATGAACAATGAGAGAGGCAGGAAAATAACTATCTTCCCACACTTATCTTCAAATGGCAGCTGGGGTGTGTAGAAAGATGTACCTCAAAGATAGCCATGTCGTAATGCTTGGACCCGAGGAATATGCTATGTTATGTGGTAACAAAGAGTTTAGGCTAGTGAACATTATGGTTGTTGATCAACTAACTTTGAAATAAGGAAATTACTTTGCATTGTCTGGGAGGACACGGCGTAATTCACTGGTCCTTTGTAGTATTAAAAAGATACAGTCCAATAAAGACTCTTCCCTTGTTTGCAGCAGAAAGATGGGGGAGCATGGCTGATATGTAAAATTAAATTAAATTACAAAATAAAATTAAAAAAATGAGAATGAAGTTAAAATAAATTATATATTATAAATAGTAATATATTATGACTAAGTGAGAGAAGTCAAAATAGCAGACCTCATGAGTCAGTTGAAGAATTGAAATGTAGCATGATACAAACTATTAATCTCAAATATAGATACCACCTTGACATAGAGAAAATGAAAACAATTGAGTACTAATAAACAGGTTAAAAAAAAAAAAAGACTCCTCCAGCCACTGCTGGCATTGAGACAGAAGGAAGAGGTGATTCTGGGTACATCTGGTAACTGGATCGAACAAGGACTCAAATTCTCCCCTAACAGTTCTGGAAGGAATGCAGCTCTGTGGACACCAGTCACACCCCGTCAGACATCTGACCTTTACAACTCTGCAATGATACATTTTGTCATTTAAGCCACCAAGTTTTTGCTAATTCGGTAGAGCAGCAAGAGAAAGTAAGATGGTCAACAACAGCTTTGGAGGCAGAAAAGCCGTAACAACATCAACCTGTCAAACAGTGGAGGACTGCTCTTACTTTCTGGAGAAAGGAAAAGACTCACCTTTTTGTAGGTTTTTTCTTCGTTTTGTTTTCCAGGTACTGTGTCTCCATTTTCAGCAGTTGACGACATCTGCAAAGGAGAAATATTTCCATTGGAAATCTGAATGCTGTTCTTTCAATGCAACATAATAATGCTGTTAAAGAAAAAACACTTCACAGATTGTTTTTGTTGTTGTTACTGCCATTGTTTTTTCAAAGAAAGACAAGGATACAAAGGAAAAAGAAAAAGAAAATCCAAGAGTATTTATTGGGAGAATACTTAACTCTAAGTCTGAAGAAAGATGCTGTAGACACTTAAAACCCTTTTCGTGTGGATAGATTTCTTGTTAAAAGCTATTTAAAATTTACTTTGCTTCAGATTGTTGTAAGAGCTCACTGTAAAAATATCTGGAAAGTACCAAAATTATGAATCAGAACACACACACAACTCCACTCTTAATTCTACTTCCCTGAGGCTGCTCCATGAGTCATATTTTAGCACAGCTGTCTCACCTTTTGACATATGCATTTTGATATAAAAATGATAATATCCATCTTGGTGTTTTCATTGAACACTGATATAATAAGAATGTGTCCCTTTTATGATTAAAAAAATCCTTCCTGGGAAAAGAATATTTTCTTTTAGATGCAAGGAGACATCACTGTGTGAATCCAATTGTGTGCGAGAACTTTAGTTAATAATGCTAATATTGATGGATAGTTGAAGTGGTCCAAAAATTTTGCTTCTGCAAATAATACAGTAATTATCTATGCTTATATCTTTGTCCAATATCAATGTTATCTTGGACTCAATTCCTGGAATGACTAAGTCATACCAAGGTATTAACACTTCAAAGCTCTTACTAATATACTAGTAAATTGCCTTCCAAGAAGTCTATACCCACTCATAGCCCTATCTGTAGTGAGTGGGAGCTTGTCTTATTGACTACTAGATTTTAGATATCTTTGATAATTTGATAGGTCAAATAAGAGCAATCCTTATTTTAATTTTCATTTTTGAAAATTACTAATGAAGATTAATTTCCCCACATCATTGTTATCTCTTTGTATGTTTCTTTTGAGTTTCCCATACTTTTGCTAACTATCTATTAGGGTCTTAGTATTTTAAATCTATAATTGTTAGTAGTATTTGTAATTTCCCTTTTAACTCTAAGTTTTGGGACTATCACTTTATTACTAAGCACATTATTAGTGTCTTTCCATGCTGCGATGTGCCTTTTAATCTGTTTTTAAAATTTTGACGCAGAGAGGTTTTAGTTTTACATATGCAAAACTATGTATTAACTTTTCTAGTTTTTTAAGTGCATTTAAGATAAAATATTTTTCTAACTGATAGACATTAGATATTCAAACATGTTTTTTGTTTTTGTTTTTGTTGTTGTTTTGTTTTGGTGCCTGTCCTGGAGCTCCCTCTGTAGCCCAGGCTGGCCTCAGACTCACAGAGATCAGCCTGGCTCTGCCTCCCAAGTGCTGGGATTAAAGGCGTGTGCCACCACCGCCCGGCTCAAACATGTATTTTTAAACACTTAATAGGCATTCATATTTGACTTCAAATTCATAAAAAACTAAAGCCTGTTACTTCTGTGATAAATAAGGGCACCTACATCATCAGGGAGCCGCAAAACTTCAGGATCTTTTTTAAATTACTAAAAAAATGTCACATATCCTAACTTGGTCATATTTTTCCCCGCCCCTAACTCTTCCTAGATCTTTCTTACCTCCTTTCTCACCCAATTTCATATCTGCCCCTCTCAAAAAAAAAAAAAGACAAAAAATAACTAATTAAAACAGCCAAACAAACTTTAAAAATAGAAACATCAAAACAAAATGTGCACAACAAACCCAAACAAACATGAAGTCTGATTTGTATTGGCCAACTACTCCCTGCCTTGGGGCCTGATCTGGAGTGGGGTTGACACACTCAGTGAAACTCCACTGGAGAAAGCCGATATTCACGTTCCCAGCAGGAGTCAACTGCAAATAGCTTCTTGGTTAGGAGTGGGACTCTGTGCCTGCTCCCTCTCTGTGCTGAGATTCTGTCTGGTTTGAACCAGTGGGGGTCTTACGGGCGCTATCAGAGTCTCTGTGAGTTCAGACATGTTCCAGTCCTGTTGGGTCTGGAAGATGTTGTCTTCCTCGGAGTCATCCAACCACCTCTGGCTCTTGCAATCTTTCTGCCTCTTCTTTCATTTAGATCCCTAAGCCTTGAGGGGAGAGGTTTTGTGAAGACATATCATCTACGGTTGAATGCTCCAAAGTCTCTCACTTTCTGCTCACGGTCCAGTTTGGAACTCTTTGTTAATTACCATTGACTCCAAGAATACTTCATGATCTTAAATTACACGAATGGCATTTAATACCCCAGGGAGAGACAGATCTGACTTTCCTACAGGATTTTGAATCCTAGTCTTTTAGTAAGTACAGTATTTGTGGCATCAAAGAATTAGCCAGCCATGTCTCCACACCTGAACTAAATAACTGAGTTCACCCTTGATGTTGGGTGCTTGACATCACTAAGGCCATTTAGAAGAATGAAGATATGGACTTAGATGAGCCCACCTCACCAGGTCTACTGCTACCACAATTAACCCCCTGCCCCACACACACCCTCTTTCCTCTCACACCGACTCCATTCAACCTGTCCGTATTATAACTGGGAGTCCACAAAGACATCTGTTTCACTAAAAGTCTGCTTTATTTGTTTAAAGAAGAACCGATTTTTTTCCTAGTTTCCTTAGAATAGTACTTCCACGGGGTTCTGAATAAAATGCTAGGAAGATTAAAATACTTGAAAGACTCAGTGATATCAGCTCAGGAAAAAAAGCCACCCTTCAGCTCAGGATAAAACGCCAACCTTGAGTCTCTCAAGAGAAGAAGGACCTCCCTGAAGAATGCCATGTGAGCAGCTGTGCTTCTCAGACCCTCAGCTTTGAAAATGGAAACCACTTCAGCAGCCACTCTGTGGGGAGTTAAGAAACAACCTCTGGGAAATGGACTAATTGACAAGAATGGAGGGCAGTGAGCAGAGAATCTCCAAGTCGATTCATTACTTTGTAAATCACTCCTGACCTGACAGTGGGGAAGAGAAGGTGGAAACTATGCCAGTGTATTCAGTTCATTTAAATTCCTTTTTAGAAGCACAACACAGATAAAGGAGGGCCACGGTAGTGATGGGTGGCCTATCCACTGCTGATAGTGCTTCTGCCCCCCACCCTGGAGTAGTGTTACAAATGAAATCTGATCAATATCTATTGATATTCTCCTTTTATCACCCCTAAAGAGCCAAAAAGTTGTTATTTTCTTCTCTTCCTGATAGAATACTATAACCAAAGCCACTTAAGGGAGAAAGGTCTTATTTTAGTTCTAAGTCCAGCTCATTGCTGTGGGGAAATCAAGGCCCGGGAGCCAGAAGCATCTACTCACATTATGTCTCCAGCAAGCGGAGAAAACAATTATTTACTTGCCTGTTTTCAGCTCACTCTGTTTTATACATACCAGAATCATTGTTCAGGGAACACAAAACTCTCATCCACAGTGGCCAGTCTTCCCACCTCAGCCAGTGCAATCAAGATGATTCCCTCACAGGCATGTCCAGAGGCCTGTCTCCCTGGATATTCCAGACCTCCCAAACTGACAACACTAATAGCCACAAGAGCAAACTACAGGGGACTGTTAAACTGGCCACAGTGGAGTCACTCTCTGTCCTTACTTAGGCTTGTTATGTTTCTGCACTGGGAACAATACCTACTTGCAAGTATGTCAACCAAGATAATCAGAGATGACAACATTATGATCACCCTATCTCTATAAAAGAAAGGAGGGAAGATGTTCTGAGAAGTACTGCTGATTTACCTAAAGATGAGATTGCAAATGAATTCAGCATTCTTTTTAACATTTTGCTATAGAGTATTTGTTTAAAATGAAGAATTCTAGGGTGATTAAATATTAGCCAGGCATCACAATTCATGGCATTTTCCTCCCCTGCCATGCTCTGTCCCTCCACACACGGACAGATATTCAAAACTTTCCGTGTCCTGTTTGCTTGATGTTTGTTTGAAATTTGATACGGCCAACGTTAAATGTCATGAACGAGGTAGGTAAATAAAGACACAGCAGGAAAATTAAGTGCTGTGTAGAGCATCTGTCAGGATTAGGGATACAGAATACGTTTCCTTACCTTTGTAAATAAAATGGCAAGTCATCTGTAGTTGGTAGTGATGGGTGGCCGACTCATTGTTGACGCTGCTTTTGTCCCCCAGGTTCCTGTTAGAAAAGAGATCACTGGTCAATATTGAGTGATAATCCTCATTTCCTGTTCCCCCAAAGGATCAGATGTGGCTCTAGGATTGAGTAGTGAGACTACAGGGAGGGGTGCACATGAAGGACTAAATAAAATGGGTACCAAGAGGATAAACCATAGGACCCAATGTGTACTAAATATACTGTAGTGTCCAATTTAACTTTCAAGTCCCTACTTGACCCAGCAAAGGACATGATTTGCATCTAGATACGGAGTCTCCAACAGATAAAAGCAGTGACTCAAACCACAGAGGCTGGACTGGATATTCCTTTATTAGTTTTCATACAGGATTCTTTTCTTGACATGTAAATAATCTTTCAACAGTAGTTATATGATAAATCAACTGATTTTTTTTTATCAGCATTGCTTAGATAATATACTCCAAACAATACTTCCACAAACTTTTGGTTGTAATTATATTTAGCATAGAAGAGATAGCAGCTCATTGTAATTGTTGTTGGTTGTTTTTGATCTTTTGGGGGCCCCGTCACCCAGCTCCCAAATAAATCACACATGAAAGCTTATTCTTAATTATAAATGCCTTAATTATAAACAAGGCCTTAGCTTGTTTCTTGCCAGTTTTTCTTAAATTAGTCCATCTACCTTTTGCCTCTGGGCCTTTTCCTTTCTTCTGTATATCTTACTTTCATTCTTACTCCATGGCTGGCTGTGTGGCTGGGTGGTTGGCCCCTGATGGTCTCCTGTTCTTGTTTTCTTGCTCTTTATTCTCTTTTTTTTTCCTTCCATTTATTCTCTCTGCCTACCAGCCCCACCTATCCTTTCTCCTGCCTTGCTATTGGCCATTCAGCTCTTTATTAGACTACCAGGTGTTTTAGACAGACACAGTAATACAGCTTCAAGAAGTTAAACAAATGCAACATAAAAGAACGCAACACATCTTTGCATCATTAAAACAAATGTTCCACATCATAAACAAATGTAACACATCTTAAATTAACCACAACAGTAATCTTTTTTTTTTTCCAGCACCAGAGACTGAACCCAAGGCATGCTCTTTACCATGGAACTACACTCTCATACCTTTTTATTGTATGCCCAGGCAAGATCTTGCTAAGTTTCCCAGGTAGCCTTGAATTTGCTATATTCCTACCTCAGCTTCCTGAGTATCAGGAATTGCAGGCACATGCCACCATGCCTTAATCATATTCAACTTTAAACTGTAGACTGTTTATGTATAACGTAAAAATAAGTAAGGTCTTATACTCATATCCCCCTAGAGATAATCAACATCAACAATTTGTTGCATTGCTATAAAAAAAAGTCTCCCCTACGCTTGTTGCTTGCATGAGCGTGCGTGTGTGCACAGACACACATTTCCACTTGCTCTTAGCAGTACTGATATATATATATATATATGTACATACACATATCAGTATGTATATATATACACATATCTACTATATATATATATATGCATCTTCCTGTTTAAAATAACTGTACAGTACAGATTAAGCAACTGTAGACATCCTAAATGGAATATCTGTATCAGCTTGCCCACCCCCAAAAGCTCAGGGTATATCATGGAAGAGGGGGCAGAAAGATTGTAAGAGTCAGAGGTTGGGGAGGAATTGGGCAAAACTGTGTCTCCTGGATATGACATCATCAATTCAGTCATGAACTCACTGCAGTTGTGCACCACACAAGATCTTTTTTAAAAAAGTATATACTGAGGGGTGACCTGGATGCTTTGTTATGAGGTTTTGGTACTAAGGATACATTTCATAAAAATGCAAGACTTTATATACAACCAATTTTTTATTCAACTCTTAGAATTTGTAACATCTCTGGATAAAATTTTAGTAATTTGCAATTTGTTAGAATATCATCCATTATACTTAGATTTTAAACCTTATTGCCATAATGTTTCCCATTATACTGTTGTTGGATTATTTTAAACCATCTGCACTCTGACAAACATCTATTGCCTATATCTAATATTCTGTGTGTTTATACAGACTCAAATATTCTAGACAGCCTTTTTATTATTGGAATTCTTTTTAATTGTTCTGTGGACATTTTCATTCACTGTATTTTTTTTTAAGGAAAAGCCATTTAAATTTTCTATTTACTTCCCCTCCCTCAAATCATTAATTTAATGCATACCTGAGTTGTAAGAAATAGAATGAGGGAGCTGGGAAGATGGCTCAGTGGTTGAGAACACTTAATGCTCTTGCAGAGGACCCAGGCTCAGTCCCCAGTACCCATAACTGCTTCTAACTTCAGTTCCAATACCCTTTCCTGGCCTCCAAGGGCTCCTGAACAGACATGGCACACAGAAACTCACATAAAATAAATAAATACAATTTAAAAATAATACAGTTAAAATTGGAAATGTCCCCCAAACTATTTGCAGATAACTAAACATATGAAAAAGAAAAATTACAACAAAAGACTCCATTTTAGGGGGCTGGAGCGATGGCTCAGTGGTTAAGAGCACTGACTGCTCTCCCAGAGGACCGGGGTTCAACTCCCAGCACCTACATGGCAGCTCACAACTGTCTGTAACTCCAGTTCCAGGGGACCTGACACCCATGGCAAAACCCCAATGCACATAAAATAAAAATAAAAGAACTTAAGAAAACCCCTCAGTTTTATAGACTTAGTAACATGAAATTAGAATCTGGAAACCGTACATATTTTCTGAAACTGAAAATAAACTACTTGTTCATTTATTTATTTATTTACTTTTGTCTTTTGTTTTTGAGACAGGGTTTCTCTGTGTAGCTCTGGTGGTCCTGAACCTCCCTCTGTAGACCAGGCTGCCTACCTCTCCCTCCCTAGTGCTGGGATTAAAGGCATGCACCACCACTGCCTGGCTGTTCAATTATTTTTATCAGCAGCCTTGTATGATTTTAAGACCCTGCTCTTTCAAGGAGGAAATTCAATTAAAATTAGTTTTACTTAAAAAAAGGCTTGTGTTCAGCTTCCCTCCCCCACATTCTGATTATATATATATATATATATATTATGTATATATATATAGTATGTATATATACATATATATTTTTTAATTTAAGAAGAAAAAAATCACTTCTGATGGCTTGAAATTCAAAATTTTGAAGATTTACAAAAAACACCTCTTAGTTCAGAATCTCAAGAACTATACATGAGAACTGATAAAGATAATTAGGTCAAACAATACCAATTACCGGCCAGCTACTGGGATTCTGTTTTTTTTTTTTTTCTAGTTCCCTCAAGATAAACTTTTAACTTAAAATTTCAACAGAATAATTCCTAAAGATATGTACAAGTAAAATGAGAGGTTTTGCTATGTAGTCTTTAGAAGATATAGTTCTCATTTTATCCTGAAACCCAAACTTACACCAAATCACAATTAGCATATTAACTTTGTCAGGCACAGTTGTACGCAGTTCCAGAAAGCAACAGCGCATCACCAAGCTCTATTCACCCAGGAAAAACAGGACTGGTCCTACTCACTTCAGAACAATTAAATCCCAGCTATTTGATAACGTTCCAGTCTAGGTGACAACAATGAAGTTTATGGATATCTGCATATTTCATCTTGACTTTCCAAAGTGGCCAAAGGGAGTTCCTCACAAGTTAGCTGTACCCGGCCGAAGCTGAAGAAGCTGTAACTTCATCACCTGACCCATATTTCCAGTGCTCTTTAATTTATCTTAAAAGAAGGCTGACTGAGGATTCATTTCTACCAGCCACCAAAGCCAGCGAGGCTGAGTTAGTCACGGTGATGGTGTGATGATGAATTTGGCCATTGTGTCTGAGTGTGTCTACCACTCAGACGACTTGTAGATCCCAGGGCCTCCTTCACCTTAAAGGCAGAGGTGCCACGGATTTCCCAACTGTTCCCCTTCTTCTTCAAGCTACTTCTCAATCTCCTTCAAGACAAGATTTGAATCCACCACCCTTAAACTGGTGGAAATAGCTTCAATCTGATGCGATCAAAAGGAACTGATGGCATCAGGAAGAGACATCTTGTAGAGGCCTTTCATTTCATTGTTAATACTTTTGCTTTTCCTGTTATTAATTCTTCCTTGGGCTAGAGACATAGCTTGGCAGCAGAGCACTTGCCTAGTTTGTTCAAGGTTCTGGGTTCAATCCCCAGTACTGTCAAAAACATTCCTTCATTTGGGAGGGGTTTAAAACTTAGATATAATCCTTTTATTTTTCATTCTTTTTAGAAAAAAGTAATAGTGTTCCTCAACACATTAATGATATTGCCATTAAGTGATTGTTTTTGTTTTAATGGTACGTCAGGCAGCCCAGACTGGTCTCCACCTTGACATGTGGTTGACAGTCACTTGGATCTATGATTCTCCAGCCTTCACCTGCAGAGCATTGGGATTAAACTCATGTATGATACCATGTGGGGGTCTTGTGGTGCTGAGGACCGAATGCAGGCCTAGCTAAATACTAGGGACTGAGGCAGGATCTTGCTACACAGCTCAGACTGGCCTTGAACTTATGGATTCTCCTGTCTCAGCCTCCTGAGTGCTGGCATTACACATGTTTCCATACCCACCTGGTTTAAAGTGTGGGTGGACTTGCATTCTCCCCCATTCTCCCTTTCTGTTGGGGATCAAAACTAGGGCCTGATGCTTGCTGGGTAAGCACTCTACTACTGACCTACATCCCCAAGTTTGCTATTCTAAATTTTATCATACACCAATTACCAAAAGCACCAGATTGAGTCTGCTCCCACCAGCTCTACAGTTTGTTTTTACTAGTATTTCTTAAAATGGACTTGTACAGTTTTTAATCTGAATTTGCTACTTGATAGGAGATAAAAAAAATTCACATCTGTTGTAAAAAATTATATTTTGGCTTGTTTCCAACATACATTCTTATAATTAATTATACTTGTTACTGTATTTATTGTTTCTTATTCCTTTGCTGGATTTATCAAGTTTATAATTCAATTTCTTTTTTTTTCTTCCTGGTAATTTAAAAGTTCCATATATAC